ATTTGAAAAGATCTTATATTAATGATAGGCGAATATTAGTCCACCACACTAGAATGACAATATTCTCTATCACTTTACCCTCAGGCTCAGAAGCAATGTTTGCTGATTTTAGACTCTTCTCGCATGCTGCAATTCAGGTACACATTTGCAAACCATTTCATCTCTTTCGTGACCTTTAGCAATAATGCAGCACATAAATTTTTTTCGCCTCTTTGCTGGGACTAATTTTATTGGGTTTAGGAGTTTGTTATTAATTTTTGTTATTAATTTGCTTTTCCTCGTAGTTCATGGAGTTACTTTGAAAGTGATTGTTCTGTCTTTTTCTTCTGTTGCAGATGGCTTTCACCATTTTGGTTTATCCGGCACTCACATTGGTATATATAGGTCAAGAAGCTTACTTATCAAAACATCACCACACAATTCACGACATTGATTTTTATGTCTCTGTTCCAGCCTAGGTATAGCTCGGGTCCCTGGCATTGGCATTGTGTTCACTGATTTGACCTCCGGTATACCTACCAATTTTTCTCGTTTTGTCACCAATCTCCCTGCTTTCCACCTTCTCTTTGTTTTCGTATGTATAAAATCTGTATCAATACCATTTGCCCCACCAGCCTGGAGGTACCTCATGGAATGTTCATCAGGATGTCGATTCTTTTGAATCTGAATTCATTAATAGGCTGGGTGATTTTATCCGTTATGAGTGGTACAAGGAACATGGCACTATATTTTTAGAGGTATCTTTCAGGTCATTAAAAATAAGATTATGTTTGTTAAAAATATATATTTGAAGTTGACTAATAGCAATTAGTAGTTCATCACTAGAATATAAATGTTTCCACAGTAGGCTTTTAGAAAGTTCTAGTGTATCTCTGAATGAAGGAAAGCTTAGAAAAGATCAATTCATGGATAAAGGAAGCCAAAGTAAACAACTCAATAAAAGGTATCCCACTTCCAAATCAATAGAATTAGAGAACTATTTATCGTGCTTGATCTTAAAAGGTTGAGATTGTCTAGTTAACAAAGAGTTGACAACAAGCATGCTTATTGTTGAAACTAAAGCATTGTAAATTGCATAGCACAATGTTTGCATGCTATGACAGGGAATAAAATTAACATAACTAAGAAGGGCATTGTGAAACTCACATAACCAACATATGTTCTAACATGACATTGCCATAAACTCACCTCCTCCTTTTCTGCCATAGTCGCAGAGGCATCACTTATATCTTCAAGCATGCCATAAACGAATGTTACAGTTAGTTGTGAGTCACAAGTTCAATGGAAAAAACTAGTTGTGAGTAAAAAAGCCACGTTATCAAATAAAGAAAAAAGGTAAGTATGCTCTCTTGCGCAGATTCTACGAACATAACACAAATAATTTGTCGTTTATTTTTCAGTTATTTAATTTGTTTCTAATTTCTTTTGAAGTATAGCCTACATTTGACTCATCTGCAAGCATTTAAGATCTGGATAACATTAAAGGAAGGTATTTATATACCATTACAAAAACAACTCAGCTTCTACTTTACACGTCACGGTTAATAAATAAAGTAATAATTAATTTCAAAAAATTTATAGCTTTAATCTCATAAAGTCAGGATATTCTAGTTCCATATGAAAGAATTGATAAACTTAGCAAACGTGAATTTAGGATAGCGTGTTCTACATCTTGTTGATGAATTGGAAAAATTAAAAATTAGAAAGAAGAAAACTGAGTTTGAGCCCCATAATTTGTAATATAGTTCCTAGCCAAAATGTGGTTACTCTAATAACCTAATAGCTTATATGAGAAAATGTGGTTACTCTAATATGTAACCTAATAGCTTATATGAGAAAATATGTAACAAGATAAATTTTGCATCCTAAGAATTCCAATATAATTTCACCAATTATAAAGTTATAAAAAGGCTAAACTACGTCAAAATAGAGAACAAAACAAATATGTATACATGTGAAGAAATAGAGAATTAAAGACTTCCAGATTGTGAGGTCCATTGGATATCAATATTTTGCATCTATTTATATATACAAATAACCAGTGGACAATGAAATCAAGGTACTTAACTTTACTCCTCATATAACCATTTCTTCCTATAGTAGATCTTAGTTCTTTGCTCAATGAATGGCATAAAAACCTATACTTTTTGTCAATCAAATTGTATAATTAGCTCAAAATACTTACTCCACAATGATAAATATAGCTTTAATGTGTCACCTCCAATAACGAGAGAATTTTCAAGATTCAATAAATTCCTCGCAATTATTGGCCAATATTAGTGAAAGAAAGGAAACTGAATGCCACTTTTTTCTCTAAACTAGTTGATTTAAGCTTGTTTAAAAGTAAGTCTGATCTAGAAAGGTGTTAAGACTCATTTTCACCACTAAAATCACTTGCATTTTGTGCCAAGTCACGTAAATGTAAAAATTTGGATAAATTGTATGTGATGTTAACTTCAACTTTTTTAATCTTTTAGACAGACATGTTCCCTTTTTATCGAAAATATAGTAGATTTATAAAACAAGCATATCCAAAGATAAAGCCTTATTATATTATACAGTATACAATATGAATCAATTTCAAAGAACGTTGTTCAAAGTTTCAACAAAAACAACTTCGTTTTAGTGATGTAATAATGATGCAGTTTTTAATTTTTTTTCCTTGTTTTGGCACCCGTCTACACAAAACATCATTGTATTAATTTTTGGATTTTCCGTTCTATTTTGTTCACCGACCAAATTTAGCTTCCATTTGTATACAATTTATAGATTTTTTATAATTATTAATTCCAACCACTTGTTCATAATTACCTATTCATTGTCTCTTTCTATATTTGACAAATGGGATTGTTCATCTCAGTTAAAACATAGTTGTTACACTTTCTTTTCCTCATCATTGTATAATTTGTTCATATAGTATAAATGACTTTTCTATTACTACTTACGATGTTTTGTGCGAGTTGAGAACTTGCTTAACAATTGACGAGGCTTTTCACTTCGCAGTATCTGTAAATTTTTAATACTATACTAAAGCTCAATCTCAAAATAGTCAATACTCGTGTACAGATATAGAACATATTTGCACTATTGATTTATAGCTTGACTTGAGGATTCTTTTCGTTGTCTTTTCAAAGAACAAAAATGCAAATTCAAGTTTTGTCATTTTTGATAAATGTACAGTTTTTGAAACTTGATTTATTTGTTGATTAAATGGTCTCCTAGCAGGTTCAAATATTTAATTTTTGGACAATAAGTTTTTGCATTGTTAATTACCTTTCAAATTACACCGTGGTTAAATTTAATTTTATGTGTTGATTGTATTTAATTGTTCAATTGAAACTTGGTCAAGTATATTTAATTGCTGTGTATTAATTTGTGTAATTTGAGAGCAACGGATGATGATTAGTTGGTTTGTACATATTTTAAAAATTAGTAATTAATAAAACTGATACTGAAGTCATTGTAAGACATTTTTAAAGTACGAGAAGCAATAACAATGTAACATATTTAATATTATTTGTGTTATTAGGAAATAAAATGATAGTTAAATGCTGCCCCATTGAGTTTAACTCTTGGCTCTTTCACTAGTATTCAGCTCAAATTTCATGCGACTGCGGAAGTATTTTTCAATAAACAATCATTTCCTCTCTTTAGCGAATTTTATAATTTTTAGATTATTCTCTAAAAATTATAATTTGTACCCCTTTCAATATGTTCGAGAATTTGTGGGGGCACAATGATTTTTATTTATCTTTGATCTAGGCAAGCAAACTTATCATCTTTTTCTTGAATTGCATTCATTTGCAAAGTCTTGAGTTGTGTCATTGCATGGAGATATATGTTATGCACGTCATACTTATTGAAGATTGTTTCTTTTCTTCATGCAAGTGTCCATATTGTGTAATGATTTAGCTATTCAATGCCTTACCCATTTCTTGCTTTTCTTGTTTAGTAATGTTTTCATAAACTAAGAACGAAGAGCGCCAAGTTCATTTGAACCCACATCCAAACAAAGTGATTTGTTCTCATCCTATATTTCAATCCTCGACGTGGTATTCCATTGGCAAACAAATAATGGATTATTGTAGAGTTTTAAAGAATTTGCAGTTCATACCTTCATGGAGAAAGTTCAAATAAACTCAAGTCATTTACTTAAATTTTTCTATGCTGACATTAAATTCTGTCAAAGAAAAATGTTTCGGCTTAATTGTACACAAATCCATTGCACAAAACCACGACTGAATTGAAAGGAGTGAGTTGATGGCGTCTTGCTCTTGAACTTTGATGAGGTTATTTGTAGATTATTCTAATGTTCTTGCTGTTTCATTTTTTAACGACAGATTGTGTACTTAGAGAGTCTTAAATGCGTTGTTGTCTCCACCTCCCCTGCCTCCAATCTTCTCATTTTATTGAGCACTATAAATCATTGGCGTTGTTTCTTTCTTTTAGAAAATAGAAAATTGAAATTTTCCTGATAAATGTAGAGGCATTTGATCAAGAGATTCTTTATTTAACCTCCTCAATGTTTTTAGTAGGAACTTAAAATAGAAGTACTTGCAACGTGGGCTTGGTGTGGAAAACGAATAGAGTTTGTTCTCATGTTTTTATTTTTTTTAGGAAACCTATTTTTACGGCATTCTATTTGCTCTTAGTTTGTGTATAAATATGTTTTTTTTTCCCTTGGTTAGAAGCAACAATAAACATTAAGGGTTGTGCTATGGGTACATTATGGACACCATAATGGTGTCCATAATGTACACCAATCATTATTCAAACATTAAAGATCAAAGAACTACTGCAGTAGGCTCAACATTGGTTGCATGATTCAGTTATTTGCAGTTCAATTTAATCCAGTCTAGTTCATTGTACCAAACAAATATATTACACATCAGTTTGATTTGATATATCCATTCTTTCATATTAAGCTCACAATTATATGATTGATGAATCTTGTTTTATTAGTTTATCATGTGATGAATATATGTTGAACTATGCACTCATCAATTACAAGGATTCACAAAATATAAAAATATTTCTTTAGCACATATATGTATTATATTGTACAACTATAAATGGAACACAACCAGATACAATTGAAAAAAAGCACATCCGAGTTATAGGCATTGCAAATGTTAGCTGGTAGATAATATCACAAACTAAAATTTTACAAATTTGTGAAATGCTTCTCTGAGTCGGATTTTACTGATAGCTATCTTTACGTACAACCAATCCATTACGCTATTCCACAACTTGAAAAATGCAATCCCCCACGAGTTATTGAACACTAAAGTTCCACATACTCCCCAAAATCCAAAAATGAAACCAACTGCCATACTAATGTAAAATCCATCATTGATAAGCTTGTCCTCATCTTCAGGGTTTTTCATTCCATCAACATTATCACTAGTCTCTGGGACTTGAGCAATATCATCTCCTGGACAAGCTTTTGCAAGTGGAGGACCACAAAGTCCAAGGTTTCCCTCGAATGCAGAAGCATTGAATGTTTGTAAATGAATGCTTTTTGGAATTTTGCCCGACAAGTTATTGTATGACAAATCTAGCACTCCAAGTTGATCCAGTTGAGAAAAGCCATCAGGAATGCCACCAGAGAAGTGGTTTCTTGAAAAATCAAGAAAATCCAAAGACCTTAGTTGTTCAATATTCGAAGGAAGGAATCCAGATAGGTTGTTTCTTGAAAGGTTCAATCCAACTAGCATTACAAGACTGGTAATTTCCACAGGAACATCACCAACTAGAAATCTTGTTTAAAGAAAAGTCCAACACTTGTAAATGTGCAAGATGACACAAATTGGAAGGAATACTACCAATGAACTCATTGGACCTGAGACTCAGAAACACCAATTCAGTCCAAGTATCTCCCACCCATATTGGTATTTTACCGGTCAACTTATTTTGTGAAAGATCAATAAAAGTCAAGGAAGTACAATTCCTCAACGATGTTGGAATTTCTCCAGTGAAACTGTTGTTTTGTAAGTGCAATGATGAACAGATATTTGGTGAAAAGATCTTTCCAGAGAAATTATTGTGCGCCAGATTAAGATATTTCAAATTTGGTAGGTTTGCAAAACAATTTGGAAGTTGTCCAAACAGTAAGTTATTCGAGAGGTCAAGAGAATACCAATAGCAACTAGTTTCATTGCATAAATTGGTAATTGACCCGAAAAATTCATTACTCGACAAATCCAATACAGATCCATTATGAGGCAAAATTGGTAATGAACCATTAAAATGATTAAAGCTCAAATCTATGGAATCAAAAGTAGAGAACTTTAGCGACAAATTCGGAAGGACACCACAAAAATTGTTATGTGATATATTTAAACTTGATAATTTTGGATTTGACTCCCAAAACCAATCGGGGAAGTTGCCTGAAATTTCAGCATTAGAGATATCAAGATACTCTAATCTCGTTTGTGTTCTAAGCCATGTGGGAAAATGTGGACCCACTTTGCAGTCTGCTAAAGATACACGTGTCAGTTGAAAAGGAGGATTCCATCCTAAACTGAAATTGAAGGAGATGCCTGGGTTGGAAGACAAGTCCAACCATTGTAATTGGGAAAGATGAAAGAAATGGGATTCAGTGATTATGTCTTCAAAGTTGTTTGAAAAAAGAAACAAGGATTCGAGTTTCGAAAGGTTACGTATGCATTGGGTCATGGTAACATTAAACATATTATGAGACAAATCTAAGGTTGTTAACGAGGAAGATAATGCAGAACAAGGCAAATCCCCTGTGAGTTGGTTATCAGATAAATATAAAAGAGTTAAACTACTCATATTCCCCAAGGATATTGGAATCTCACCTTGTAATTTGTTGAAAGTGAGGTCAAGGAAACTAAGGTTACTGCTTAAGTTAAACACCAAAGGAAATATCCAAGAAGAAGAGAACTCATTTCCAGTGAGTGTAAGGTCAAAAAGAGAATTAGAAACATTGAAAGATGAGGGAGGAAGTACCATTGGCAGGTCACATGAATATAAGGATAAAGATATAAGCTGAGTAAGCTTAGTTATTGTTTGTAACCAATTCGTTGCCATTGTGAGGTTAACTGAGATTATGGCAAGGTAACTCAATATGAAGTTGAGAAAGCCAATCAAGATTTGTGCTAGTTAGTAAATTTTCATGATAGGAGCCAAGACGGAGAAAATTCAATTCGGAAAGGTTGCCAAGATGATGTGGAATTTCTCCGCCAAAATTAGAATCGTAAAGATCAACATACTGTAATCTACCTAGGGAACCAATCAATTGTGGGATTTTGCTATCATTGAAATCATTGACACTGAGGTCTAGATATTTCAAATGTCGTATTTCAAGCAAAGAGACGCTAATGTTACCTCCTAGAAGCAAACCACTAAGATCCAACTCAACAATATGATTAGTTTGATTATCACAACTGACACCCCTCCATTTGCAGCAATCCTTCTTATATTCTTCATTTCCCCAAGAAGAGAGTTGGCCAGACTCATCAATAAGCTCACCTTTGAACTTGAGAAGAGTTTCTCTCTCCTTCTCTAAGCACTTGATACCAACTTTCGTCCCTGTAGAGTGCTCAAAGGTGGCTCTCCAGCTTAGAAGTAGCACAGTGACTAACAGTTGAAGATGCTGCAAGAACTTTTGACAAACTATCATTTTGTGAACAATTTGTAACAAAGACTTTTCTGATATTCTTTTTTGAAATTTCACCATTTAAGCGGTACTACTTATAGCATCTATTGCAAGAATGAATTTGGGTAGAAAGCTACTGAAAAAGACTATCCAAATCCACAATAACTCCTTTGAAAAAGGTTCTGACTTTGTCAAAATAATCTAGCCCCTGTTTGACAAACTTTAAAAAGAATGGAAACTTAGGAACCCAGTTACACGTTTACATTTTGAGTAAAAACCAAAGACAATCACTTTTCCTACATCAAAGTTCCATATCACCTCGTGAACTTTATTTTATTTCAAAGTGATCACTAAAATGTGCATTTTGTATTGTGAGTTGTCATTCAATTTAAATTTATCACCATGTCTTACATTTCTTTTGAGGAAAAAAAAAACGATTGAATTTGAACGTGAAACTACACTAAAACAAAAAGTAAACTTCAATGACTACATAAAACTTCCCCATAAGTGAGTGATTAATAGTGTTTTTCAACCCTGTGACAATTGAAAAGATGATTCAAATGATATTTGTGTGACCTTTTAAACATCATAAATTTTTTGATTAAATGATCAAATGTGTTGAAGATAATATTTAAATGATATATGTTTTTTACCATGGCTTGACACTCTAATTAAGTCACTCAAGCCCCTATTTAAAATAAACTATTAATTTCAACAACATATTTTATGGATTCACAAATTTTTAATTATACATTTCATCAACTTTTATCAAATCTGATTTCTAATCCCAAACAAGGGCCAAACATCTAATAAAATACTACTCACTAAATTTTGAGGCACAGAATATCTTCGGACCTTTCTTATAGTAGTTTCCTAGTTAGAAGAAATTCCTTCTCATAAATTTCCGTCTCATAATTTAGACGATTTTCCTTTATAAATTGTTCTTAGAAATGAACTGCAAATGGATGAGAAAATAAATGTCATACTTGTTAAATCAATGAGCTAACATCAATAACGATGGCTTGGAAAAAAATTCTGACTCCTTGTATAAAAGACAAAAACGGAGGACTTGACTTTTTCGCCCTATTGATCTTTATTTCCAGGAAAAAGAATTCTCCAAAAATTGATGAGAATAATATTTAAATTACATATACCTAATTAAGTCATTCAAATATTTAGAAAATCTATATTTATCATAATTTCGAGGCGCAAACCTTTTTCATTGTTGTAGACATTTTTTTCCTTAATGAACTGTTTTTAGAAATGAATTGCAAAGAGATGTCATACTCATTAAATCAACGAGTTCCTAAAGATACGATTGCTTGAAAAAAAAGATTATGATTTCTTGTATTAGAAAAAAAAAAAAAAAAAAAAAG